TTAATATTTTTCATTTATACAAAACGAGATTGCCACTTTTCCTAAGGATTAAGAATAAAATTAAATTTGTGAGAGTGCAAGGATATGTCAATCAAACCCGCCGAAAAATTTGAAATTTCAATATCTTTTAAACGAAATAAGATTTTTGATTAATTTTTGTGTGAAATGCTATTAAAATATATAAGTCGTAATATTATAGAGAAAATAATAACTTCAAATCTGTGTCCAAGTACCTTTAACTACATGGTACACATGTGATGAGTGCCGATACGATTTAAAATGAACTACAATGTATAGAGATAAGCCTGACATGAACCGCCCTTATCTACTAACAGTGGATTTTCGTACAATGTGCATGCATATCTTTACCTACTAATTGACTCCTATTATTAGAACTGCACGTAACTCAGTATTACACAAATATAGTTGAAAGAGATTCGGGGATTTCCAGTTGCATATTTTTAGAAAAACCAGTGGAGTTATCTAACTTGCTTATAGTGGCGCTGGATCGCGAACGGAAGTAGATTTACGGCGACAGAAAGCGCTTTGCGCTGCGCTTAGCGCTTAAAAATCATATTTCATCCAAATATCTCTTTCAAAATACACTTTTAAATATTTTTAATCATATGTAAGTATTATTTAAGATTGACGCATCTTCACATACCACAATTAACACAATCTGAATAATAGATGATTTAAAAAAGCATGAAAACTGTGTGTGTATTGACTTTATATTTGATACAGGCTTCGGAGATTTTACTAAATCTAAATTATTACAGGACTATTCTGCAAATTGCACATGGCAACATTTATAGAAATACCTTACTTGTTCCGTGCACCTGTTTTTTTCAATGATTATATTGATTCGGGGTCACGATTTCATAGTTTTAAAACTTGTTCCAAGAGAATCCAACATATTTATTTCTGATAGCAGCCGTTTAAATTTCGAATAGCAACACTGAACGCTATTTTGTTCCGATAGCAACCGTTTAGGTAATACACCGTGCGTGGGAAATTGTAACATTTATGTCCGTTTTTTCCCTGGGGTACTTAACATATTAATGTTTCACAAAAAATAAACACCTAAAATATTTAATGCATAGATGCATGATACATGTACATTATAGAATAGAAGATTAGAATTGATTTCGCTCGAGAACCAAACTGAACCAAAATTTATCTAATTCAAAATTTTAATACTGAAGTACATAAAATGAAACTGACAAAACATGAAAAAAAAAATAATGCCCCATGGAAGGCTCGAACCAAAAACTTTTCGCTTCGAGTGCACTGAACAGGTACATGTAGCCCAACTTACTAAGCTATCATCGCTACACATTTACTCATAATTTTAAAAGGACAAAGAAGCACCACATTCACACATTTGGATTTTTTGGGGAAAAGTTAATTTTTCGTGGTCTCTGGGTCTTCTCTCCATTTTTTAAAAAAGTTAATTCGTTTCGTTCAATTTAAATACACAGGAATAACGTTTCAAAATCATGGAGAGAAGACCCAGAGATAGAAATATATTATAAAAACGTGTTTAAAAAAGTACCTTTTGTACCAAATGTCTGATCTTGACAATTTTCAAGTTATTTTTTTTTTATGTAAACTAGGCTCAATTTCGGGAAAATATTTTCCTTTCCTGTTGCACAGGAACCCGATAAATTAAAAAAAAATGTTAAAATTTCATGTGACATGTCGATAAAATTTTCACTTTTCAAGTACGCCCAGATTCCTGCCGAATGCCCATCAAAAGCGCCCTCGTTCTTTAAATAACTTTAAAAAAAAAAAAAATACAAAGTGAATCATGCACTTTTCATAGTGCGTTGTAACGCATGTGCAGTTCGAACGAAATTACTTGTTCCGGCAGTCAAGAAGGAAACACCACCTGCACAGTTGGTCGTTTTGTCCATAGTGTACATGTATGTAGTTGTTTCTGTAATCACAATATAATCCTATTATGTTTTTATTTACTCTAGACCAACAATTATTCGCGTCATCTTTTATATATCGTCAATTTGAATTATTAATCAATCCGCGAATTAAGATTAATTTACACGATTAAGAAAATATTCTCTATAAATGCAAAGCAAAACGAACGGTTCGCGGCGATTATTTTTTTCGAATTAATGCAACTCGCGAACAATTTCTCACACGCAAATAAAAGTTGGTTTACAGTATTTTCAATCTATTTATTATAACGTCGTATTTTTGTCTGATGGATGGAGTAATATGTGTATTTTCTAGACACAAATATCATTGCCGTTTACTTGCTGTTTCAAATAAAGAAATAAACATGAGCGTGGTTTTGTTATTCTCATGATCAGATACACTAAGGATGACCCCATTATTGACTTTGAGGTTAAAAGTTAAGGTCAAAGGTCAATTTCTTAAATTGATACATTTTGTTTGTGTGTAAAACTTTTATTTCCGAGCGATATCTCAAGAAATTATACAGCATTGTACATGTACTCCCTACCCATCCCCCAGCCCCAGAAGGCCCTCATTAAGTGCCTCGACCCCAAACCCTTTTGGTTGATTAATTTTCTAGAGTTTTACATGAGTATGGATATGAATAATTTTCTTGACTTTTAATGTGCAGTATTCAGTTAAGTCCAGGATGAAGACCTTCTCAGTCTAAATAATCTGTCCTTGAAAATAAATCAGCTGCCGACCTCAAATGGTAATAAATGAATAACTGGGGAATATCAATTTTTCATATTGAAAACTAATCTTTCTTAGATTATATCGAAAATATATTATACTGACTGAAATGAACAAAAAATAATATAATCCGTCGAAGGGAGCTAACTCTGTGTGTACTTTGTATGTTGGAGTTATAGTTCTTAGTACGCGTGCAAGTTCAGCATGTTGGCGTGGACGATGAATTCCATATTTGATGTGAAGGCTGTTAGGCCTATATTAATATATAGCTGCTTTTTTAATCAGTTTAAAACAGTTTTCGGAAATAAAATCAGGAAAAGCAGGTTCAATAAATGGGGGGGGGGTGGTTAATGATTGAAATCAACCCTTTATATATTTGGCACAAGGTATCCTTGGCCAATGAGCTTTCATTTAATATAAATCTAGGGTTGTGACCCTTAAACAAGGGGAGATTATAGGCAGATTATCACCAACCTTACATAAAGGACGTGGATATGTTGAAGATTAAGAATTGTTCAAACTTCAAAGCTGAGTGTCGAGTATAGGACGAAATTTGCAGCTCTCCGCCAGGACGTGGTGGCGTCTACATGTGTGTGAAAAATTCTCGAGAGGGACGTTAAGCAATATACAATTAATCAATCATTCCTAGATTTAAAAAAACGCACACTTCCTATATCAAAAATTAATAGTTGAATTCAAATATCCTTCTTTACCCTGAATAATTTTCTCAAGTCCAAAAACAATTCTCATCAGTGTTAAGAGGGTCCTTAAATGTTTTTTTTAAAACCATTAGCTAAAATATGCAAAACTTACATAGAAGCATCCTTGGGTTGTGTAGATTCACCATAAAATTGTTTGAAAACCACCAGAGAGAGGGGGTAGGGGTAGGTTAAGGCCTTATTGTACGATCAAAGATTTATGGAAATATACAGAAAATTATTTCCTTAATATGAACCGCTTACTATCTTAAGATATACGAGGGTTGTCCGTAAAGTTCGCGGAGAACATTGATAATTACTGAAAGTATTAAAAAAAACATATGAAACTATTATTTTCATTAAATTAGTGTTTCATATTACATACATGCAAATTTTAAACAAAAGCAAAGCACAAATAGATATATTTTTATCAGATACAAAAACAAGAGGCCCAAGGGGCCTTATAGGTCACCTGATTATCATGTTACAACTTTCACACTATTGAATTTGGTTCATGTTTTAAACCAGAGGCCATGAAATTCACAATTATGAAAGAGACACCATTGCTTATCATAATTATACTCTTAGCTTGCTTACTCTAGTTACTTAATACCAAGAGGTAGATCAGAATAAAGAAAAAAATGCACTTCCAACTTATAACCAGTTGTGCACCCCACCCCAAAGGAACCACTGACCCTGGAGCCACTTATTTCAAAATTTTTAGACTATGTTACACCCCTTCCCCCCATACACCTGACCCAAGGGGCATGGATTTAACCATTTTTATTGAAGCACCTTTTTTCATCATAAATATATATACTTAGATCATTGGCATAATACCCAGGTGCAAAGTAAAAGATTTTCAAAGAATTAAGGTGGCTCACTACATCCAAAGTTTATTTTCGATTTCAATACATCACAGCTTATAATGTAGATGTCATTTATCCAGATGGTGGAATTGATATCATAAATATTTTTTATAGAATTCTTTAGTTTTTGTCTAATTTTAGTGAAATGTTTTATTTCAACAGAATTATTATTAACAGAATTTCAGAACTTTCAGTGTCAAATGATGGGCATCTTCTTAAGACAAGTACACAGAGTGAAAAAAACCTCATAATACCTAATAATAATTTTATTAGAAAAAATAATTTTCTCCTAAAAACAATTTATGTCATTATCTTCTTAATCTATGCTTAAAACATTAATAAAATGAGTTCTGAAGAGACAAGGAATGTATTTCAATGAATTAAATGTGTCTAATTGAATGAAGAATGTTTAAACGAAAAAATATTTGGTGTAAAAAGTCCACTTTCAAGAGTTATCTTTCCTAATTACCCAAGACTCAAAATACCAGGGAACGTTTGACATTACATCTAAAATTTAGAACAAAGCTTTAAATTATCAGAGTATACATTTAAATCAATAAAGCAATTTTATATAAATAAACACCAACACAGTAAATAGAGCAAGTAAATAACTTTTTAATTTCAACAAGGTTATGGATTTTAACTCGAATTTCATATTATAGAGGTACCTGTACAATTCGTCCCCAGAGGAAACCGGTCGCGCAATGGAGGTTTATTTTTTTTATGTAGTACGTCATCAAAAAGTGGTGTAATGAGCCTCTATAAAGTATTTCCACTATATAATCAAATGACCCCACCTACACAAAATGGGTAAACCCCTGACACGAGGGCCATGAAATTCATGATTCATACTGGTCGATTATGAACATTTTTTTTCAGAATTAATGCAACTTAATTCAATTTATGCTAAAATATTCTGATTACGCTTAATATTATCATGGTGCTATATCTGAACTTCTTAGGTTCAATGTGTTACATATATAAGCGATATGTATATATTAATCGTGAACACAACACATCAAAGACAATAATGTACACTTACTCGAACAAATAAAAACTAGTAAAATTAACTTCATAACTAACATCAAATAATTCTTTTACCTTTATTGCATTTGTAATATTTTTTTGTGGATTCAAAGTGAAAACTAAAGGGGAAAAGGAGCTTGAAAAACATCTTCATGGCCTCAAAAGGGAATTCAGGACTAAAGAAACCTTAAAGAAAATACTTCATACATTTTCTGCATGGAAAGATATGGTTTATTTCAAGGACATTTGACTATTGATGACAAATAATAAAAGGTAATAAATTGCAATGTCATTTTTTAGACAACAAGAAGAAGAAAGCTAAGGAAAACCTTATAAGATGAAAATTAAAAATTAATACATCAATTGCAGGATATTTAGATTAACATGAAAATTGTCAGCATGCACTTATATTAAATGACAGGCCTCTCAGTAAATCTCAATGTGAATGAGCGACTTTAAAAAGTTTGTGAAACACTAATGACCCTGTATGGCAACATAGCGAAGATTAATCTTTTCTTAAATACAAATCTAATATATTTTTAATACAAAAATCTCCAAGGTCAATGTTATTGGTATACAATGAAAGTTCTTGCCACAAATAATACGTATGCAAAGTATGGAAGCCCTAGCCTTAAGCGTTCAAAAGTTATGACCAAGGTTAAAAATTTTAAAATGAAGGTCTAACTCTTAGTTCAAGTTCAAAGGTCTTGCTATCAAATGAAAGTCTCGTCACAAGGATTACGTATGTGAAGAATGAAAGCACTAGCTATACCCATTAAAAGTTGTGGTTAAGTTTATTATCATTAAGGTTTTTAAGGACATTGCTTTTTTTTAAATAGGTCAAACACCAAGGTCAAGGTTCTTGGTATCCAATGAAGGGTCTTCTCACATGACTTACATATTTGAAGTATGAAAGCCCTATCTCTTAGCGTTCAAAGGTGATGGTCTAGGTTAAAGTTTTTTTATAAGTACGGAAATCTCTTAGGCCAAGGTAAAGATTGTTGGTATCCAATGAAAGATCTTTAGATAAAAAATACAAATATGAAGTATAAATATATCGGTGTCTACTGTTAAAAGATATGGCCAAAGTAAATGTGTAGAATTTTTGTGTAAAAGTGGGCCAAACTCCAAGGTCAAGGTCAAAAGGTCAATTTTGTGGTACCCAAAGAAAGGGCTTATCACAAGGAATACGCATGTGAAATATAAAGGTTATAGCTCCACTGCATCGAAGGTTATGGACAAGGGTAAAGTTTTCGCGGACAAACAGAGAGACATACAGACAGACAGCTAGACAGACGGACAGACACAACAAAAACTATATACCCCCAAAACTTCGTTAACGGGGGCATAAAACATGTATTAATGTACATGTGTTATTCAATAATCTCCATGTAGTCATGCACAGTGTTTAGTTCTTTGTAATGGTTTTCTGGTAGATTATTAACTTCCTCTGGATTCAGGATATCATACGCTGATTGCGGGCGATCAGCTATGGCTAGTTCATTGTAGTGGTTTTCTGGTAGATTATTAACTTGCTCTGGATTCAGGATATCATACGCTGAATGTGGGCGATCAGCAGTGGCTACTTCATTGTAGTCGTTTTCAGGTAGACTATCAACTTGCTCTGAAGTTGCATTGGTATAATTTGAATTCGGTCGACCAGTTGTAACCACAGGTTCTGAGTCCGTTAAGCTTCCGTTATGTTTGCCATGATTGTGCATCCTGTACAACAGTTTACATTAAATGTTTACATGTAAAGGTATGAGATACTATTATTGAATTGTGCCTAGGCGTAGGAAGCATATTCAAAACTGGGGGGTAGGCTTATTAAAAGGGGGGCTTAAAAAACAAAAAAATAAGGTAAACCCCAACTTTTGATGCCTATATTATATATACATATATTTGCATATCCACTGCTCTCTCCCACTATGAACATGTAGTCATCGTTTATAGGACCATAGACGCAATTGCATCTGATATGAGTGCAATTGCGCTGTTACTTTCGTGTAGAACAAATTCTACTACAATTATATAACGTCCTGAGAAGTATATATATGAAATATTTCATAAAACGAATAAAAATAAGTTTTTAATAATATTCTTTTAAAAAAAAAGAAATTCAGAATATTTAAAATTGCTGATTTATACCTTTAAAAATTCAATTTTGGTCATTGTATTTAATTGTATAATAAAACTTTTTAAAATTATAGATAACTGCCATATTTTTATTTTTTCATATCATATATATTTGTACAAAGAAAGATAACTCTTCACACTTGGGTAATAACACCCAGAAAGAGGAAATTTTCTACTTCAAGAATGATTTCAGCTATTAAAAATAAATATGAAAAGCTAAAAAAAAAAAAAACATAGAAAAGCATTCTGGAATAATAATCATTATAAAAGCATCTTCATTTTTCATCACAGTGTTAAATTATTGATTTTTGTCAGAGGGTTTCAATAACGTTGATCGATGACGTCACAACTGCATCAAAACAAAAATTAAGAGAATGTGATGACGGCGCTGCTTGTATCCAGATAACTGTTTGAGAGGGGAATACTTTATAAATTGTTTGTGATTTATTAGAGTAAACGATTATTGATCAGGTGTACTGATTTTAAAGCCGTATGTTTTTCATTACTGAAGACAAGAAGCCGCGTCCTCATGTAAGTCAGGAGTTCCTCTGATATTCTTTTAAAAAATCAAAGAATGCAAATATAAGTAATAAACAACGATTATTCAGTGAACATGGCATTATGAATAGCAACTGCTCTGCTGGCATATTTTCCATGATGCGCTAGCGCGCATCATGGAATATGCCAGCAGAGCAATTGCTATTCATAACGCCATGTTCACTGAATAACGTTGTTTATTTCTTAAATATAACATTTTTGAATTAGTTTTCCCATTATATCACAAATATAATATTTTTATCTATATGCCCTGAAAAACTGCCGAATCACGCCGGATACAGTTATGTTGCCCTCCCGAACCAGTTATGTTCCCTCGCGTGCAATCATTCTATGCATATTAATTACGTCGGGTTCGAAATTCACAAAGGCAGTTGCCAAGCAAATGTAAACAGTTCCGCGAAAATTAAAAAGTCGAGACAACGTCTGCGATTTGTTTATTTGAATTCAGAGGAATTAGATAATTTAATTGAGGAGAAAAATTCTTTAAATACAACAAAGGTTATCAACACAAGTGTCAGCATACTGAAAACATTCTGCCATGAAACAGGACGGGATATTTCGGAATTATTCTCAACGTACATATGTGTTCAATGTGTTCAATAAATATGTTCGATGATCGATTTGGGTTCAATGCTTAAAAATGTTATATACCATATATTACATGGCTTAATTCTCGGGCAGCAATACCAGAATATTTGCCCCAAGGTGACAGAAAAGCCCTGGAGTGTTATGTCGCCCGATGCCGCAGGCATATATATAATATAAATCCACACACGTATTGTTATAATAAAAAAATCAAAACACCGAAATAAACTTAACCGGTTTCATTTCCAATCTTCAGGAGTTTGACAATACAATGCTTAGTTACACAAAATCAACATTCATATTGTGACGTCATAAAGCGCCAATACTTAGTCGCGCTTTAGCAAAGTTCATTATGACGTCATGATAATACGTAAGTAAGTTATTACGGGAAATTAGATTATTTATACAAATAGCACAATTATATTATGCGGGTAAAAGTATATTTCTTTAATGAAATATAATTATGCTGCATTTAAAACAGGTTTATGTCTGTTTATAAAATGTTTTTTCTTTTGTTTCACGTTCTTTTTCTGTAGTAATTTGTAGAAAGGAAAAACAGTAAAACTGGGGGTTTTATTTTTGGCACAGTTTCTGATGTGTTCGCTTACGGCGGTACACTGGTATCTTGGTTCCCTAATTTGTTGTCGGTGTACGGTCATTCTGTGTCTCAGGGTGTCTCCTGTCTGGCCGATATAATTTTTTACCACAACCGGCGCAGTTAAATAAATAACATACAATAAATAAGATTCGAGCTGGTGCATGACACTGATGTTTTAATGGTAAATTAGCTTCCAATTTTTAATTGAAATTTGGATCCCTCTGTCATGTATGGGCAAGTACTGCATCGTAATAGTAATAAATACAGGTTTTTTGCATATGCGATATGGCTGACGTAACAATAGCCGTATCAGCCCTGCAGGGCTGATATGGATTTGCGGGGCTGATAACCTATATGGATTTGCGGGGCTGATAACCTATATCAGCCCTGCAGGGCTGATACGGCTATTGTGACGTCAATATCACATCCTTTGTAATTAATTTTAACTTTTTGAAAATAAGGTTAATCTAAATTTACAAATACATGTAATAGATTATTTTCAAATTACGGATCGAGTGCATTGAAATAGAAGCAGAAACAAACCCAAATCGTATGAGACAATAGACCATGTATATGTATGTAAGAAGTCCATGCATGGTTATTTACTTATTTTCTTCTCAACTTAATGCATTCTGTATTTTATTACTAAGTATGTAATAAATATAATAAAACATATCCTTTTTCATATCACATCCTGTATCAGCCCGAGACACCAATATCAGCCAGCGGGCCGACGGCCTTCGGCCTTCTGGCTGATATTGGTGTCTCGGGCTGATACAGGATGTGATATGGAAAAGGGTATGTATTATTCTCTCTCTCTCTCTCTCTCTCTCTCTCTCTCTCTCTCTCTCTCTCTCTCTCTCTCTCTCTCTCTCTCTCTATATATATATATATATATATATATATATATATATATATATTAGCAAATTGCAAAAAAGGTAAGAAAAGGGGGTGAGCTAATCTCCCCTCTAGCACCCCTCCCCCCGGTTCCGACGCCTATGGTGTGATATACACATTTTTTGACGACTTTTGCATTTAAAAAATTGAAGAATTATCTCATTTTTTAGAAAGTTGAATGGCCATGAGTACCAAGCATACTGTAGGTCACAAATTGTATCCTCTCATAGGGAAGTGGTGTCGTCTCCATATGAATGAAAAATTTTCGAGAGGGGCGTTAAACAACAAACAAACAAAAACACATTTAAAAATATGTCCCCCCAAAACTCGACCCCTATAAAATACCAAGTTTTTTCAGAACAGTATGTTTTCATATGAGTCGACAAATATTAAATTACGATGAAAACTAAACAGTTTTCACAGAGTTTTATTATTATATACATTTGGAAGAAAATGAAATTCAATTTCTGAATGATTGAGCATTATTAAATCCTATAAGCCAAGTATTTTACATTTTTAAAATCTATGCATTTATATTTAGACATGCGGTACCTTTTACGAATCCTAACAATGGAGAAGGCACCAATGCCAGTTAATATGACCAATATCCCTGATATAACCAATCCAATAAGAATTCCTTCATTTGGTACTAAAACAGAAAATGTAAAATATTTTTTTTACATCAACAATAATGTCGCTGAATTGCAAGTTTTCTTTCAAAACTGAAAGTTTTTTTTTTGACGGTTAATTAAGACGGTTGATCCTAAGCGTATCATGATAATAATAAAATATCGATCAATGTTTCGATTATGCTTATCATACTTACCACAGATGTTTAAGCAATTGACATTGTATTGCTTTTTTATTATCTTAAATATTCATTTTGATTCCATTATAGCCATTTTCTCATCAATAATTTGCATTTCACGGAAACAGTTGTGAAGATTTTCCCCAAGTATTCCTAAGTAAAATTGTAGTTCAATATCGTGATCCTTACTTAGTATCATGGGGCAATATGTTAAACAAATTTAATCTGCATGCATCAAATGAATCTGCGTAATATTTTAATCACTTATTATGATTATGCTGTTCTAAAGACGGTTTTTTGTACTTCTCCGATATACTTCCATATAAAACTTTGATTTCTAATTTCAACCCAACTTTATCCTCTTGAGACAATGCTTTGAATAAATTTGAATCTAGCTGAGAATTTTTCATTTTTATTTCACTACATGTAATCCCAGGCTTTAATTTCTTGAGATGTTGTATGTAAATATATGTAAAAACATTGTATATTACGGTTCCACCCTATCTTACCCCACCCCTAGATTTAAACAATTTAAGTAAGCATAAAACTACACTATTTCAAGAAGCTGACGCATAATTTTTTTTCTTTTCGAAATAAAAGTTAAAGTTAAATTAACAAAACGTTTTATGAAATGAAAATATTAAAGTAATTTGGATTTTTTTCTTTAAAATTTTAAAACAGCAATCAAATACATGCCCTTATTTTTCATGTAAGAACCAAAGTACTTAGCTTACTGGCTGAGGAGAACCTCACAGTCCGCCAGCAGAGGCCTCGACCAAGGGGTCAAAATTTAAAATCTTAATTACGGTACCAATTTTGATGCATCATAAATTATATGTCATCAGTGATGCTCTTCCAAAAATGTTTGGAATTAGAAATTTTGAATTTGAAAAAAAAACTATATCCATTATCCAAGTATGAAACCGAATTCCTGGTATACCGTTTTATAACGTACAATGATTCAAATCTTCTGTTTGGGCTGTTTCTGGAAAAAAAAGAAAAGAATCCTTTTTACCACACTACAGGAGGGACCGATTTCTAACTATTTTTCTTTAATCTAAAAAATTATATAATTATATGTATACCCTTCATGCAGAGCGAAGGCAGTTTTGTATCACAGAGAATCTCCTGTAAGGAAATCTCACTTTCTGATTTATTCACAGCAAGACATCCAAACAACGGCATATCTTTTGAACCTGGTATAAAAATGATAAAAAAAAACGTTTTTGCACAAACCATATCCAAACTTTTTCTTAAATAAAGAATCGAGCTGAGAGGAGTTTCTATGTGTGTTACCGCTAGTCCATTTTCTTTTGCTTTTTCTTGCAATTCCAGTCCACCAAGGTCCCCCTACAGCTACATTCTGATATAGCGCAAGATAGCTTGCCTGAACCCCAAATGGACAACCATGTATGGCTGAGAACCAAGAGGAATTGACTCGACCCACTCCTGTTTGACCTTTTGATATATATAGATATGTATTAATACTGCGGATTGATTTCATTCATTTTACATTACGCGCTTCGTATTTGTTAGAAACAATTTAAAAATCTTACTCAATATTTGAAAAGAAAAATCAAGCTTATAATACAAATTTTGAAGTACAATATGAAACTAAGACATTTTCTTCAAATTCTGAAATATTGCATGAAATGTGCAATTTTTACGAAAACCTTTACAGCAGTGAATTAATTGATAATACTGAAATATCCCAGTATCTACAAAATGTTAATTGTCCAGAAGAACTGCGAACGATAGTATTGTTCTTCTGCCTACCTCCAAGTCAATTTTCAAAAGTTAACATATTCGATGAATTTTTAATATTTTTTATAGATTAGTTATATGGATTTTCATAAACATTACTTATTTGGGAAAACAAAGAGAGATAACTCTAAAATTTTGGTAAAACTTGTGTTTTTCACTATAGAAATCAACATCTTCCCGCCCGTGTCACAAAAATTCCTTTTCACAGGTTATATGGAATGGTTTTTACATAAATTCATACCAAAGCTTTTTGTGTGACACGGGGGGAACATATGTTTATTTACAAAAAACGATAAAAATGCTTATTTTCCACCAATTTCAAAGCGATATACAACTGCAACATTACATTTTATTAAAATATTTATGTTTTTTTTATTGCCTAAAACATAAGAAAAGATTTAAGGAACATTTAATCATATCCAAGACTATTTCAAAATACGGTGATGCTTGAAACTCCGATTTCAATGGAAAATATCGTCTACCCTTCTTTTTTCAAGAGCTGGAATTATAGATAATTTACTGTTTTGCACTGGTATTAAGACGACTTATCAATTACCATTGAACTGTTCTTTGTATTAAACAAAGATTTTATGGCCAAATTGCTATTTATATTGAATTAAATGGTTCCAAAATGTAGGCGGGAATCGAGAGTTAGCGTGCGTGTTTCTTAGAAAATCAAGAAAAAGAAAAATGTGATGCAATGCCTACAATAGATGAATGTAAAGAAGCAGTTTTTAATATGAAAAACAATAAATTTCCTGGCTTAGTTGGTTTACCGTGAGAATTTTATAAATGTTTTTGGAACCTTAAAGGTTCTTTATTTTTACGAAGTACTGTTTTTGACAATAAAGTGCTGACTTTTTCACAACGTATATACATGTATGTTTTATTTTAAAAAGGAGATAAGAATGATTTAAAGAATTATCGACCTTTAAGTGTAACAAATACTGACTATAAAATTATAGCTTTTATATTTGCAAGAAGACTACAAACATCATTACATGTCAAACTTTTTGCAACCATGCTGGATCAAAAATTAATCTGAATAAAACACAATGTACATTTTAGATTGTCTAAAAGATAGGCACTCCCAGATATGTATAAATGTAATCAATGATGCTGTTCGCTGCTTAGGTATTTTTACTGGACATACATTGTAACAAAGAACAATGCTACAACTTGGACAAATTGGATTAAAATTTATGAAGATATTGAAAAACTGTTTGAATCATGGGAAGAGTCTTGTGCAGTTAATTCTTCAGCTACTGTAGATCACTTGATTTTCGCGACACCTTATTTTCGCGAGATGGTCATTGACTCTTTATTAGCGAGATAAAATTTTCACGAATTGTGGCCATTGCTCTATATAATCTTAAGGAATTCTATTATATGCGAGAATGAAATTTTCGCGAGCATACCGTCTCGCGTAATAACGCAAAAATAAAGTTCTAGCGAATAAAAAGTGATTTACAGTATATGTTTTACGGTGTGACCGAGCGCAGTTGTACCATCTAAAACACTTGAAATATTGATCAGTCACTTCAAACATCAAGCCGAGCGAGACATCTTGACTAGCTGTGACGTCACATGACGTCACGGAGCTCGTCGGAGCATACAGAGACAGCAGAACGTCTGTTTGAAACTATAGGCCTAGTAATATTTGACTGGAAAAAAATAGCAGTTATTTTTTTATTCTTTCAAAGATTTCTACATACTGAAAGCCTTTTATGCTTTACGTTAGTATTTATTTATTTATTTATTCGCGCAAAGGACATTGGGTAGGAATAGAATTCTGGGAATGTTTCACAGAAAAAATTGCCTGACATATGACATATGTACAGATTTCATTCCGAATTTTCTCTGTTCTTACACGTTCGTCTATTGAGCTCCCTTCGCGACGCTCGCTGTGCTCGCTATCAAAGTTAATATATGTTGGTTCAATATTGCCCATTCCAGGCCATGAGTTGATAAAAAAAATTAAAAAGTAGCGTATTCAATTTTATATGAAATAAACGAGATAATATTAAGCGAGACACTGTTATAGGCAAAAAAGAAGATGGGGGAATAGGATTAGTTGATATCGAACTGAAATTAAAGGCCTCAAAGGCATCTTGGGAAACAAGACTAAGTGACGACTCTTGTATATTAAATAAAGTCATAAACGGATACCTTAGCGAAATGAATATAGACATTAGTTATTTATTAACATTGTCTGAAAGAAAACTCGAAAACTGTTCACTTATATCTAACTTGCTTACTTTTTATAAAGAAATATTCTGTTATTTCAATGAGTCCAAAAAGGGAATAGACGTATCAAATTTATCTAATGTCAAATTTGCACGAGAGCCGCTTTGGAATAAAATTTCATATCAATTTAAAGGTAAAACAATATGCTTCAAAAATTGGATTGCAAGTAATGTTTTACATACGAAAGATCTCTTTGTAATAGGTTTGATATGAAGTGCTGTGTTTTTACCAAGACAAGTTCTGTAAATTCATTTAATTTTAACAGTGGTTTTCATTGTATTACAGATAAAAGATGCAAGTTTTTCTATGAGAACATGGTGTCTAAAAAGTTTAAATATCCATGTTTTAAATCAATATTAGGTCAAAATTTTTGTGTGAGTAAAGAACACTGGTTCAATATTTATACAAATAAAATCAAACTCATCTATGATTAACGTTTGAGTAAATTTAATCATAAATTGAATAATATTCTATGTTGTAATTCTGTTCTACAAAAATGTTAAGAGCAAATGCAAAATGTGAATTTTGTGGAAATGAAAATGAAGATATAAACATCTTATTTTTAATTGTAAATATTGTTATGAACTTCGAAACATATTTTTATAGGATTCTACTTGGAAACAAATTCAAGAATTCTTTTTTATAATACTGAGTACTATTATATCGTATTTGGCATATAAATTATATAAATTTAAAATGAAAAGCAGAATAGAAAATATCATACGAGAAAAATCCATATAGAAAAAAGCATTAGAGGTTCATTAGAAAAAGATATAGATTTCATGTTAAATTTGTCAAATACATGTACATGCATGTTTAAAAACCCAGTT